ATAAATAACTGAAAAAAGGGGTGGCTATAGCTTCTTCCCACACATTTTCTATTCAGCCTCCCTGCTAGCTCACAGTTAATGCCCTTCTATCTAGAACAATACCGAGAAAAGCAGTAGGCTAACTTGGGCCAAAAACTGCCAGACTCATGACAAGCTGAACCAAAACCTTGGAATACATCTTCCATTGCAGCCAGAAGTTAACTCACAGTCTGTAGTCTCCATAATTATCTGGGGTCAATCTCCTCTGCAACTATTTTCCCCCCTTTTGGGAAACCTGGCCTAAACAGAAAAAGGATGGTCTTAGGGAGACATGTAACTGGATGGTTTTAGAAATGTTGGCTAACCAAGGGAATAAAGCTAAAGAATAATGAGTTTAAATAGTGAAAGTATTTCATTACATGAAAATGGGAATCATAGTCAAAACATTTCTTACATCCTAATAACATCAGACTGTACACTGATGTACACTGACATGTACAATCATATGTAATTCATGCATACTATTAAATATCCAAAGAGTTGCAAGTATAAAATGATCACTAACTACTGTAGTTAATAAAATGTGTGAAAAATCATTGCAAGTCATATCAGGTTGACAGTTCTACTATATTACTAAAATACTTGCTTAATTTCCTACTACTGTAAAAAATGAGCTTGAATCTTTCGTTTCTTCCCACTCCTGTGGTTCCTCAAACCATTACACATTGCAAACTAGACTAAGGGCAAGTACTGCCTTCATTCCTTACAATCACAGAGTCACAGAATGGTTGAGGTTGGAAGGGATCATCTAGTCCAACCTCCCTGCTCAAGCAGGGTCACCTAGACCACATTACTCAGGCTTGCGTAGAGACAGTTCTTGAATATCTCCAGAGAACTAGACTCTAAAACCTATCTGGGCAGAACATACTCGAATGCTCAGTCACTCTCACAGTAAAGTTCTCCCTCATGTTCAGGGGGAACTGCCTGTACTTTAGTTTATGTCTATAGCCTCTTGTCCTACCACCTGGCACCACTGAGAAGAGTCTGGCCCCATCCTCTTGACACTCTCCCTTCAGATACTTAAGCACACTGAGCAGATCCACTCTGAGGCTTCTCTTCTGTAGGCTGAACAGGCCTAGCTCCTTCAGCCTTTCCTCATGAGAGGTTCTCCAGACCCTTAATCATTCTCTTAGTCCTTTGCTGAACCCTCTCCAGCAGTTCCTTGTCTTTCTTGAACTGGGGAGCCCACAACTGGACACAGTACTCCAGATGCAGCTTCACCAGAGCACAGCAGAAAAGCTAAGGGAGATAACCTCCCTTGACCTGCTGGTCACACTCTTCCCAATGCAGTCCAAGACATCATTGGCCTCCTCAGCCAGGAGGGTACATTGCTGCCTGCTGTGGTCCACCAGGAACCCCAGGTCCTTCGCAGACCTATTCTGCAGCAGGTCAGCCCCCAGCCTTTACTTTCCAGGAACTGAGGTGAGGCTGACTGGCCTGTAACTACCAGGGTCATTCTTCTTGCCCTGTTGAAGACTGGGGTGATGTTTTCTTCCAGTCTTCAGGCACCTCTCCCGATTGCCATGACCTTTCACATATGATCATGAGCAGCCTAGCAATGATGTCCACCACCTCCTCAGCAATTGTGGATGCATCCCATCAGTGCCTATAGACTTGTGGATGTCAAGCTCATCTAAATGATCTCTAACAAAATCCTCCTTAACCAAGGAAAAGACTTCCTTTCTCCAGACTTTCTCCCCAGTTTCTTGGATCAAGGATTCCTGAGGGGTGGCCCTGACACTGAAGACAACGTTTGACATTAAGTCAGAATGACTACATTAACTCCATACTTACGGATTTTATTCTTGAGATAACATCTAAATGACACTTTAGAACTGCTTTAGCAGGGAGTCCTTCATCAAACCTAGCCTAATCACTGCTACATTACTAATTAGCCTGTCATGACAGATTAGCAAACAGTCTCTTAGTTCTTACAGCACATTTCACCATTACTGTGGCTGCATTAAACTTACAGACAAACCTGCATTTCTCAGGAACAATTCTCTGGGAATTTTATGATTAAGGTTGTGAAATCTGGCAGAAGCTGACTTCACATCAAACTAATAAGAACACAATTGATTCTAACCCCTTAAATGAAGGCTTAGTCTCTTAATTATAATCTCAGTGGTACAGTGTCTTCAAGATTTTTTCTTTTGTTAGATTCCAATACTATGTTCCTTACTTGGACACACTGTCACAGGTTCTCAGACTTGATTATGAAAACCCCCACGAACTTGTGTCACCAGTGATTAACATCCCTTCCTGTGAAATAGTCTTAAATATGATAAAAAGAGGGTTCAGAAAACAAAACAAAGCGTTTGGGCTTCACCCAGAGATCTGGATTCTTTGAAGATGACAATAGCTGACCTCAGATTTCTGAGCATCTTAAAGCATTCTTTAATATTATTAGTTTAACAGTAGTCTTAAACAACATTATTTTACCAACCACACCCTAAGAAGAGATGCACCCTCAAAATCTCTGTACAAAGTTGACACTAAATGGCTGACACTATTATGGCAACGTTCCACAGCAGAAGCACACTAACAGGACTAGCCAAATGCCGATGACTGGCCAGACAAACAGGGAAATTTCTCCTTCTGAGCTTAGAGATACTTATGCTCTTCAAAATAACAGAAAACAATTTAGTTCCAGATGTGTTCTCTGCAATCTATCATCCGAAATGGTTCCAAAATAATTTCCAACTATCACACAGTACTGATTAGCTGTCACGTAGACAAGAATGCCCAGCTATCACAGCAATACTATCAACTACACCAATGTCCAAATCCACATGAAATTAAGAATAGCTTTTGACTGCCTTCCTGCTGCAGGAATCCAACTTTCAAAAGAAAACTTTCTTGCTGGGCAAGAACAAAAGCAGAGCACTCAACTTTCACTCTGAGAAAAGAACTGAAAAATAACACTACTGCTTGGCAACTTTTGGAAGTTTCCTGAGAACATGAGACCTTACTCACAGCTGACGTTATCTTATGAAGCCTGCCAAGAAGTTCATCCAGATAATAGCACATTCCCAAGGGGCCTTGGGGAAGAAGGGCCCAGGGACACTTTCCAGGAGACTTCATCATTCCCATCTCCCTGGCACAAGTCCAGTTAAGTGATGGATAAAGGCAGCAGGCTCCTGAAAGAAGGTTGCCACCAATTGAACAGCCTGCTGCTCCTTCCATCTCCCTCAGGACGTCATGAAGGAGGCCATCAGAAAGATGTGTTTACTGGTGAAAATTAGGTCACTGCCCACTGCTTTTCCAAGAGCAATTTCAGACTGAGTGGTTATTTCCCTGTGCTCATACAGGATACAGAATAATGCTTCTGAAAAATATCTACTGGTCATTGTACTAGGCAAGCACAGTAGGTAAGGTGTTGCCATCCTCTGCACCTGGAAAATAGCAAATCACTGAAGTAGCAGTTGGGTGCTACTCCTTGCATTAGAAAATTTACAGTGCTGACAAGCACATCTACCAGATGCAGCTCTAGAGAAACCCATTCAAGCAGTCTGATTTTCACTGCAAGACTGACTTAGGAAGAAGTGAAGGTTTGCCAGAACCTCAGCTATCACTTTTTAATCTTATTAGTTCAAATCATTCTCACATATAATATTACCAATGTTTCAATCTTCTAATGGACCATGGAAAATTGGCAAGCAGTGAAACCTCTTCCTCATTTTCAACTGCCAAATTACATTAGAAGACAGCAAAACAGTTAGGAAAAAAATAAGTCACCATCAACTTTGCCACCAAGAAAATTATAAATAAAAGGGCAGTCTTCAGTAGAGAAGTGCTCTTAAATGTTCAGAATGAGAAGAGCAATTATGCTTTATTAAGGTACAACAAAGAATTCCTGGTAACATACATACAGAATTTGTGTCACAGGCTCTCATTTATGCACTAACCCCTTCCTTTAAAAAGAAGATACACACTTTCCAATTAGTTTTGAGTAGGGTTTGTGGTTTTTTTTAAGATCTGGAAGAATTAAACTGGAGTCCAGACTTCTTAAGTTGAAACAACATTAAGAAAGAAACAATGTCTTTGTAGTTGAAAGCTACAGCAAGTAAAAGGCTACTAAAGAAATTTGTGCCAAGGAACATATATAGTGTTACACACTGCTGCAAAAAAAGTAATCTAAGATGGGTGCGGAGGGTACTTAACCTACACAGGTGAAAAAGTCCATTACACTGTTTACCACACAAAGCTTTTATCACTCACAGTAAAACAAACGCCAGCAGCAGGTTGGAGACAAATCCTATTACACAATCACAAATCAGACGTGCAAAATTAATTTTTAAATGCCTCGCTGTTATTTTACCTTTGGACACATCACCATTAAGCACAACCTTTGTCAAGTAAAACCCAGGCATTTCCTCTCCATCTACTTTGGCCTTGGAATAAGCAAAGTGAGGATGAAACCTGCCCACAACACGTCAAGTTTCAAGAAAGCTCCCACAGGAATTCACTTTAAAGAGCAGAATACAAGACTCGTTGACAATGTTCTCATGCCTGTCTGTGAAGAATTGTAGACGATTCATTTTACTTTCCATCTCCCAGCAACACTTCAGCACAAGCATTTCTCAGTACTTGTTTTGTTGTGCCGTAATGATGCTTCTGCTAGGCAGACCAGCTTGTCTCCCACAAGCCCCCCCGTTCTCGCCCCGTTGGCTAGCCGACCCACGCCGCCAGGCAGGGCCCGCAACAGCCCCCGTCCTGTGACCGACCAGGCCGCAGCCACTACCGTCCCCTGCCAGGAGGCGCCCGCCCGCTGCTGCCTCTCGCTCGCCGCCACACGCGAGGCCGGGCGGGCACCGGAGAGCCTGGGGCCGAGCGGTACGGCAGCCGGCGGGGGGCTAGAGGCAGGAGCGAGGTTGGAGGGAGGCCCGGCCGCTGGGTTACCTCAGCGGGAGGCCGGAGCAGAGGGCCAGGCCGGGACGGGCGCAGCGGGAGCCACTCACCCACATCCTGGTCGAAAGGGTTGGTGGCGAAGAGCGGCATCGCGGGGCGGGGGGGAGCGGCGCTGCCACCCCTCCCGGCAGCGCGACGGCGAAGAGAGAAGCTCTCAGCAGCGACAGCAACTCCTCCTCCTGCCCGAGGTACCTCCGCCACTGCCTCCTCCTCCCAGGGCCGGGGAGCCAGCCCCCCGCGCGCAGCACGCTGGGACACCGAAGTGGTCCCGCTGCCGCCGCCGATTGGGCCCCGCTACCCGGCTCCGGCTCCAGCCCTCAGCTTGCCCCGAGGCGGCGGCGGGGGGGAGGGTCCTGGAGTCCCGTCCCGCAGGTCCCCGCGCCTCGAGAGGTGCCTGGCCCTCGCCGCGCTCGGCAGGTGCGCGGATGGGCTCCCTGCCTGGCCTTGCCTGGCCTTGCCTGGCCTTGCCTGGTGCCCTGCTCCCGGAGGCACGGCCACTGCGAACCCAGGCCGGGCATGGCTATGGCGGTTCAAAGCGGTGGTTATTTTGTCTAGTTCTGCTGAGCTTTTCTGTGCCTCCCTAGGTAGGAGGTGAGTCGGTTTCGAGTCCAGATACGTTTGCTTCCTGTAGAAAATTTTCAGAGCTTCCCTATGCATCAGGCTGACAGAGTCTTTTAATTATTGATGCTGTCATGCTTCTGAAGTAGGTGGCCTGACCACAAAGGTGCAGAGTGGTGGTTATGATGGCATCTTTCACAGTATGGCAGGGGAGCCTGACCACTTCTCCATGATTAGATGCTGCTGCAGTCAGTAGCTATCAGCTGTTCACAGGGCCTTGACTATTCTGTGGCCTTTGGTTGTATCTTGCTACTTTGTTTTGTGTGACTATCTTGTTGGCTCCAGTGGGGTGTGCCCCATAACAATTTGACTTACTGAATATGACATGTTCTGCCTATTTCGGCTGTCACACAAAAAAAACAGTCATTGTCCCAAAGGACTTTTAATACTATATAGTTACTCTTAACTAGTTGGATCACTAATCAACCAAAAGAGAGCACATGCATGCAAGTGAGGCGCATCTCAAAGAGCAATATGGGCACACCAGAAGAGTGCAAACAAGAAATAAAAAAGGTGCTACTGCTATTTGCAGTGCAGAAGCACTAGGTGCAATCAATAGCACTAACCATGCTCAATAATGAATGTAATTGCATGCATCAGGCAGAGTTCTGACACATCCAATGAAAACTGAACACCAAGCCTCTTCCCACAGGGATTTACAGTCACTAGCCACTTCCTTACTTTACTAAATTTTTTTCTACTGCCTCTGGTTTTGCTTCTTTCCTTTTCTACAGCAACAGTTTTCAGCAGCTGATGCAGGTCAGCAGTGATCTATTGCTTAGGACTATTTTTATGGAATTGCGTGTTTTCTTTGGATTCTGCCTCAGTTCAACGGCATCTGCTAGATACTCTCAGAGGATGCTTTACCTCCTCACCATTCATCAGCCCCCATTATGTTCACAAAAAAACATATGGTAGATGTTCTTGGAGCCTGTTTTATCCCTTCCTTTTCCATCCCTTCTCAATAGGTTAAAAAAGGAATTGTAAGAACCCTTTCAAAACAGGCAGAGCTTTCGTGCAGTAGTCCTGCAGTAAGAGCAAATAAGAGATGTGGGGAACTAGGGTTTTGGACTGTCTTCAGCCTGAAAGGATTCCCACCCAATTTTACTTCCCAGGCAATACCCTACTCAACATTTTGAAAAAGGTGAGTCTGTACTCAAGGAGCATTGTGGAACTCTGTAGTTGTCCTGGGTTCAGCAGTAGCAGTCATTTTTCTCCTTCTTAGTAGCTGGTGCGGTGCTGTGGTTTTGACTTTCATCCTGGGAACAGCACTGATAACACCGATGTTTTTTAGTTGCTGCTCAGTAATGTTTACTCTGACCAAGGACTTTCTGAGTCTCATGCTCTGCCAGGGAGGAGGGGAAGCCAGGAGGAAACAGAGACGACACCTGACCCAAACTGACCAAAGGGGTATTCCATACCACACCATGTCATGCCCAGTATGTAAACTGGGGGCAGTTACCTGGAAGGGTTAGATCACTGCTCGGTCAGGCTGCGTATTGGTTGATGGTGGTGAGCAGTTGTATTCTCTTCCCTTGTTATTTCCCTTATCATTATTATTATTGGTGGTAGCAGCAGTGGTTTGTGTTATACCTTAGTTACTGGACTGTTCTTATCTCAACCCATGGGAGTTGCATTCTATTGATTCTCCTCCCTATCCCTCCGGGAGAGAGGGGAGGAAGGGGAGGGGAGTGAGCGAGCTAGCTGCATGCCTGACTGAGTTTAAACCATGACAGTAGTCATGGCTCAAGTTTCTGTAACAATCTTTTTTTCTGTTTAACACAGTGTGAAGTACAGGAGTCCTTTGAATACTCTGTATTATATCGCGTCTTCCTCTTTTCCTTGTCCCATAGCTCAAGCATTATTTCATAGCGCAGCAAAGTGTAGTGGTTAGAGCACTCATCCACCAAGTGCGGGGTTTGGCCTCTCAGACACAGGTGACTATTGAAACCAGCTTTTCTACTTTACGTGTGAGTTGTACAACGAGTATACTATTTAAAAAAAGGTGTGTTAAGCTTCCTTTGTTGGATGTAGTTCAGAATGTTTTTATTATTTCCTACTGCATTTGAAATGGGACTTTGGTTGCCTAAGTTAGCTATCTAAAAGTAAGGAATCTAGTTCAAAGGTGCAGTGCATCTAATTTCAGGGTAACTACAGCTGATAGAGAATATAGCAACTCTGCACTCCCTGCGCCCACAACTATGTGCTGCCACCACATTTCTCATATTAGATTTGGAATTTGATCCAATTCATTTGTGGCTGCAGTCAGCTGATCCAGCTGAAAACTACCTCACTGCAGAAAGTTCCCTGTTGGATCATGTCAGTTATCTGACTCACCTTGCCATTAAACCGCAGCAAGAGGCAGGAAGGCATGGCTGGGGACTGTACTTCACTGGCCTGGGTCAAGAAAAGCTGGCCTGGCCTGGGGATAGCTCATCTGTTCTATTTCAGACCTCATTCTGAAGATGGCCTCTGCAACAGATTTGACTTTGTTGATTTCCTAAAGAAGCTTTAACCAACAGTTGTCTGACTTAGGGCTTGTCTCCAGACAGCCTTATAGCAAGTTTTAAGTAGGGTGGTTTTTAGCAATATGTGCTACTTTTGTCCAAAGTAAACAGCCTCACATGATCAGTAAGGACGCTTCTTTCTTTGCACTCTTCATTTTTTACCATAATACCATTGTTCAGATATTGCTGAGAGATAAAAGACATGTATTCAATTGCCAGTGCAACTCACTTCCTGGATTTTAAAAAGTGTGACATACTTTTAAATTTGCTTAAGTAACTTTAATTTTGTTGATCATTTATATATATATATATTTATTTTAATTATGACAAGGGTTTACCCCTACCAAGCTTAGTTACAGACTCTGATGATATACAATGATTCATTTTAATATAGTCTTCTGGTAGGAAAGAGTACTTAGATATAGAAGCTTATAAATTACAGTCTTCTAGGGAAGTTCTAATATTTTTTACAGTCCCTCAGCTGACACATATCTGCATTAGACAACCATATTTCTTAAGAGGAAGACAAAAACATTATGGCCATGGAGGGGAAGGCCACTGCACTTCCAGTTCACTGCTGGACTACTACACTTGGCATAACCATTTTTTTTTAGGACATATTAGTTTGGTACCTGCTGTGCTGTAAAGATAAGGTGTATAACTCCAAAAAGTCAGGCCAGTACACTTCTAACAAGGAGGGAGATATAAAGACCAATGTTGTCTCAGGGATCAGGACACTGACCTCTATTTTAACTGCTTTTTCATTATAGTTGTACAGTGCTTTCAAAACTGGAAGCTGGGCAGAAAAGAAAATCAAAGGAAAACAGGAAGGTTCAGAACAGAGAAAGTGCCAGCAGTCCATTTAATCACAGCTTTTGTCTTTGACAGGGCAAGTACAAGATGTTTTGGATTGCATACAAGATGCTGTAATGCATAATAATACAATGATATGACTGAGAAAAAATTTATCCCAGTCACAGGTCACATGTAAATGTTCTAAGTACTGGACTATAGTGATTTACTTCCCATCTATAATCTTACTGTACATATCCTAGAATTTTGCAAGTGTCCAAGTTACATGGCTTACTTACAGTATTCATATTCTTTATTATATAAAGAGATTATATGAAACATCAGTACAGTAAGTCTGATGTCCTCTGTTATACAAGAAGTCAGTCTAAAAATATTTAATTGCCCCTTTTGGCCTTAATATTTATGAAGTATGCAGGTAGAATTATATGAAGTATATAGCTGGAATTCTCTCAAATCCATGTAACTTTAGAACTAGGCAAGTATTCAAATAATAAACTTTATAGAACAATTCATTTTGCCCTTACCACATTAAAAATTGTAATGTGCAGCTTTCTAGTTGATATTTGCATGTATAGATGTCAGTAGAATGGGTTTGTATCTTCCTCAGTCTTTCTGTATTCAAGGCAGTACTTGCAAACTAACTCACATGAAGTAATACTTCATATGTTTAGACTGCAGTTTTGTTAAATGATTTTGGATAACAAGTCAAACACAAAAATAGGCTTATACCATTTGCTTTAGTAAGCTCACAGTGATGTATGGTGATAGAGCTGTAAGAAGCAGATAATCTGGAAGCTGCTGGAACTTCTGGGTGCCTGTCCTTCCCTGGGGATGCTGGCAGGAGCATCTCGCTTGCCAGCTTCCTGACGCTGCCATGGGGAACCACTTGTCCTAGTGCTTTTTTTGGCATGAACACCTGTTCTCAACATGGCCAAACTGACTGCACCCAATATGGTCACTTTTTCTTGCTGATAACTCAGACCAGTTTTCAACCAATGATGAAGTTAAAATTAATCTTTGCACTCTCCACCACTTTTCTAAGAAGGAAAATAGAAATACTTCCACTGACCTTACTGGGAGTTAGATTGGAACACTACTCCCTTGATAAAGAGTCTCTCTTAACTCAAGTCCTTGAAATAAGACTAAATAACAAGCAAAGATTGCGTACGCTCTGAAACTAATAATGGAAACAGTCTCTTCCACAGAGATTGTAATGCTCATAGAAACGAGCTACCACTGACTGAAGTATACTGAAAATCAGAAGGTATTTTTAGTATTATTGAAGTGTTTTGTGAAACCCTG